CCCCTCTTTTTCCTATCCTTCCTCTTTTTCCTCCTTTTCCTCCGTTTTCCCCCCTTTATTCCTTTCCTCCCTTTTTTCCCTTCTTCCCCTTTTTGCCCCTTTTCTCTTCCTTTTCTTCTTTTTCCCTTTTCCTCCCTTTTCCCCCATTTTTCTTTTTCTCACTTTTTCCCCTATATCACCCCTTTCTTCCCCGTCTTCTCCCCTTTTCCTCCCTTTTTCCCTTTCCCTGCTTTCCCTCCATTATTTCTTTTTCCTCCTTCCCCCTTTTTCCATTCTTCCCCTTTTTCCTCCTTTCCCCCCTTTATTCCCCTTTTCCCCTTTTTCCCTATTTCTCCCCTTTTTCCCCATTTCTCCCCTTCTTCCTCCTTTTCTCCCTTTCATCCCTTTCTTCCCCTTTTCCCCTTTTTCGCCTTTTATCTCCCTTTTCCCCTTTTTTCCTCTTTTTCCCCTTTCTTCCTCTTCTTCCCTTTTCCCACCTTTTTTCCCCTTTTATCTCCCTTTTCCCCTTTTTTCCTCTTTTTCCCCTTTCTTCTTCTTCCCTTTTCCCACCTTTTTTCCCCTTTTTTCCCTCTTTTCTCTTTTTTCCCCCCTTTTTTCCCACTGTTCCCTCTTCCCCATGTGCCTTTTTTTGGGGTGAAATTGGGGAAAATAAGTCCAGCTCCTTGGAGGAGAATCACACACCCCAACTGTGGCCCAGGGGAGAGAGGGGTTCAGGGTTTTGGGGTGCCAGGGCAGTATTTTGGTGTATTTGAGAGCATTTTGAGGTGTTCCAGGACATTCTGGGGCAGCATTTGGGGCGCTTTGGGGTGTTTCGGGGCAGCGATGGTGTCTTGAGGAGCTTGGGGGTCTTCTAAGGTGGCGTTTGGGGTCTTCTAGAGCAGGATGTTTTGGGCATCTCCGTGGTGGTTGGGGATTTTGGGGCGGGCTTTGGGATTTTGGGGTCTTTCCAGGGTTGCGTTTTGGGGCGTTCCGAGGCGTCTGGCGGGGCAGCTTTTCTGGGAGGCGACGGTTGGGGAGTTCTGTGCACCAACACCGACGGGGAAGCAATGCCTTAAATTAACGCAGATCATCAGGAGATTCTTACTGATAGAATTGGCAGTGTAGTGAGGATACACCTTCCACTGCACTCCAGAATGAAGAAATAACATGTTTTCATAGAATCATAGAATTGTCGGGGTTGGAAGGGACCTTAAAGATCATCTAGTTCCAACACCCCTGCCATGGGCAGGGATATCCCCCAATAGATCAGGCTGCCCAGAGCCCCATCCAGCCTGGCCTTAAAAAATCCCAGGGATGGGGCTGCCACAACCTCTCTGGGCAACCTGTGCCGGGTTGTCTGGAGCTTCCTTCCATCCAGTGTTCCCATCCAACATCTCCATCCAACATCTCCACCCAGTGTCCTCATCCAGTGTCTCCCCATCCCGTGTCTCCCTGTCCAACGTCCTCATCCACGTCTCATGTGCCCCTGATCTCTGGTTCCCTGGTGGCTCTCCCGGGGCCTCCTGTGCTACCGAGCCTGTGTGTCCTGCAGCTCTGCGAGAAGGAGGAGGAAGAGGAGGAAGAGCTCACAGAGAGGAGCGAGCAAGACTCGGGCATCAACGAGGAGCCACTGCTGACGGCTGAGCAGGTACCCCTGGTCCCCAGCCAGCGCGTCCCCCAAAAACCAGGCGTTAGCAGGTGGAGGATGAAGGTGGAGGTTGCAGGATGCAGGGTGCAGGGTGGAGGATGAAGGATGCAGGTGGAGGATGAAGATGGAGGATGCAAGGTCTAGGTTGGGGGCAAAAGGTGGAGGATGCAGGTGGAGGGTGGAGGATGCAGGTGGAGGGTGGAGGTGAAGGATACGAGGTCTCTAGGTTGGAGGAGGGAGGTAGAAGATGCAGGTGGAGGGTGGAGGTGAAGGATACGAGGTCTCTAGGTTGGAGGAGGGAGGTAGAAGATGCAGGTGGAGGTTGCAGGGTCCAGGGTGGACGATGAAGGTGGAGAATGCAGGGTCCAGGGTGGAGGACACAAGTAGAGGATAAAGGATGCAGGTGGAGGGTGGAGGTCTGGGGTGGAGGATGAAGGTGGAGGATGGAGGATGCCAGCAGAGGATGAAGATGGAGGCTACAAGGTCTCTAGGTTGGAGGAGGAAGGTGGAG